CATTCCCACGACTCACTTGTCCGAAAAGACGAACACGTTTGAACTTGCACCAAGTTTCCATATAAATGTGAGGCTTGACGAGAATTTGTCGAGAGTACACGTATACTCGCCAAAGTAGACTTCTAAATTCCTGTTGCTCAGGCAACTGATGCCTAATGAGGGAAATTCAACCTTATATTGGCAGAATTCAACGAAAAAAGGAAAGGCAGATTACTGAAAATGTAAAAGTTGTTTATTGTTAAAAGTCAAAGGCAGTCCTACCACAGTTTATTCTAACCGCTTTTTAATATGACGACAACTTAACAGGCCTGCGTTTGCACATCATCATGCACTGTTATCTAGAGAATGCCTATTCGCCTTACTATTGGCTACTACCGGCTGCGAGTCTACATCCAATTTCTCCCTATTCAAATCTGATAGTTTTTACTAGTCACCCTGTGGCCTCTGTCAGATGTAGAGACTGTCATATTTCTCATTTTTAAATTGGCATGCGACTCTTCTCCCCATTTTTCTTTCTAGACGAGCTGCCAGACGTATAAACTACAAGGAGTTCGAAAGTGAGGAATCAGCCGAGGAGGAGGTGGTGGAGGAACCTGCTGTCGAAAAAAGTGCAGTCTTTGAGGACTCGTCAGCTCGCACGCCAGCATCACCACCGCAGTCTCCGGTTGGCGGCCGAGCGCGTCGTATCCTCTCCGACAGTGAATACGAACCCTCGATCGCAGAGAGTACAGACCACGAAGAGGAGGAGGACAATCAAGAGGCTGAGAAGGAGCAGGAGGATAAGAGTGAACAGCAGGTGCAACCACTGCTGGAGACCAACAACACCGGCGAGCCGTCGCCAGCGTCCTCTCAGCATGAACTCTTCTCCTGTGACGAGGATAGCTGTCGTGGAGCATGTGCAGATGCATCCGATCCGTCCCCAGGGCCCGGCAAAACAAGTCCCCTCCCCGCCCCTTCCTCCTCCTCGCCGGTGTTTGAGGAGTCTGAGCCGTCTCAGCGATTGCAAGCACCTCTCGGAAGTCCCCAGTTTTAGCAATCGCAGCACGAGTCTCACTCTCTGTGGTCTCATTTCTTGCTCTCTCTGTGCAATTTACCTGTATGTTGTTCCTCCCTCCCCTCCCCCCCT